CTCACCATGCTCCACTGACTTGTGGATCAGATCTTTCGGTCAAAGGCTCTGAGTGTGAGCCCCTAAGAAAACCACCTGCTTCAGTTTGGGCACCTGGGCAGTATCACAGCCCTCAAGCAAATCGAATGAGATTTGTGTGGCGCGTATATATATCTGGTGCCCATTTTGTACCAATATTTGTGTTTAAATAAATAAATACAATATGTATTGAATTGGTAATGACTCAATTGTCAATGTACTCTATATTCATTGGGTATGCTTTGGAACTGATCTACGCAATTATAGGCTGCCGATCAGGATTCTTCAACGAACTCTGTTTTAGCACATTCTTTCCAATGTTTCCAAGCACTACTCATTATTATTCTGATGTCCTACTACAATTCTTGACGCAATGTGTTTTAGGTTTGTCACTTTTCCTTTTGCCTTCAGGATTCCAAGTCAGGTTTTGTCCCATGGTGTAATTTAGTGATTTCCTTAATGAATGTCCTCTCATCTCCATTGTCTTTTCTGATTTTCCTCTTTAGCGATCTACACTATAACTATGTCGAATTATTCACTCAAGTCGTTTTACTAAGCTTTCATCTCACAAAAATTACACTAAAACGTGCATAATAAATCCGTACTAGGCAAACAAGTTACTTGATGGATATTCCCATCATACACTGACATCAACCGTACGTCTCTTCCTAATTCTCCAGCTGATGTTATCTTAAAAAGTTTCAAGCTTAACATTGAACCCACAATGGTGATAAAAACGATAACAGTTCAGTCTGTTAATCTCAAATATACATTTGACATTCACCAGATGGTGGATTTGACCTCAATTGATAGGATTCAACGTATGACTGTATCACAACACCATTACAATGTTAGACAATTGCCACATAGAAATTAGTAAATGCACGCACGTACGCACGCGTACACACGTACATTCATATATATGTAAATACACACACAAATTTATTGATTATTCTGAGGGCAGAGGATTTGATTAACCCGTTTGACTCATACAATCCAATGTGGATTAATTCAGCACTTCAACAATGAAGAGAAATAAAAAAGAACAGGGTAGAGAATTAGAAACAAAGATTCCTCCTAGATAGATAGAATGACGAACAAAGACACTCTATTCATAGTTCAAATGAATAAAGACATTATTTTATAAAATAAATAGAAATCAGTCACCAGAAAGAAGACAAAAAGAGGGAAGAGGCAAAAATTAGAAATGGGACAACAAAGAAACACACATGAATGAAAGATATTGAAATGGTTAGGTTATAAGGTTGGACTACGGTCAACACATCAGAAATTCTAGAAACATCTTTATGAACAGAGAAAAAAATAATGAATTAAGACCCTTGCATATGACCTGTAAATGTTCAGGTCAATGGAGGAGTATGCAAAAACTATATTGAACCCTATTTTATATTTTGTTTGAATAATCAGAGGGTTCTAGGCTGAAGTGAATGAATTATGATCAAGGATATAGAAATATTCAACGAATGCAAAAATATGGTAAGTAGTGGAATTCAGGGCGCACGTTTCGTCCTATTTTGGACTCGTCAGCTGGATGTACCTGGATCTTAGAGTTGATGTTCCCTCTAGGACTCGAACCCAGTACCTTTCGCTTCAAACGCCATCGCGTTATCCACTCGGCCACTGAGTCCTGATAGCCACTTGCTTGTGAGATGGGGTGAAGTTTAAATTCATTTAGTATTGTTCGTTTGAATCGACCCATCGATGTGTTAGGACTGCAACTGGTTAAAAGAATGAATTTGTGGAATGACGTAAGACCATTTTGAAACAAGACATCTAAATGAGGATAAAAAAAGTAAACGCATCTTCCTAATTGAGACTGATTCTCAGTAACGTCACTTAACGTCTTCAGTCATCCATAACAATCATCACAGACCCCAAGCAAGTAGCCTGTATCTAACAACCTAGCTCAGATCAACAGTTAATGACTAAATGAATTGCTACCACGTTTTGTTTTGGCTTATCCTAGAACTACTATTATACCATCGATGTACTACTGAACTTATGCAAATCAAAAAATCGAATCTAAAACAAATGATGGATATAGAACAAGTATGAATCTAGAGCTCCATAAGAAACAAGCAAAAGTGACAAACGAATTGCAAGCTATATTAAGATAAATTTGATTAGGCTTTTGGTTTAAGCCAACTGACTAACATAATACCGCGTATGTACTAACAACCAACAACTGGTACTTATCACACAAACACACAAAGCAAAGTTATCAATTACTTTAAACCCTATAAAGCATTCATTACGATATAATTAAAAACAACTTATTTTAAAGATTTGAATGAATCTATAAAATAGCCAGTCACTTAGTCAAAAACAACTGAAGTGAAGCCAGCGACCAATCAGTCTAAATACCCTAATCTTATAAGTCATTCGTGGGGAGAATATCACATGAGTAACGTCTCAGACTGTAAAAACTAAGTGACAAGGTTAAGAATTCCATTGAGAACACAATTTGCGCTATGCTGACGAATGTCAGGTAGCATAAAACTACACATGCATGGTTTACTGCCGATTACCTACAACCACTTAGCCTTGAAGTGAAGTCAGAGGGCATAATTTAACGGTTGCGAATACAGAAACTACAACATAGATAAACAAAACTGAAAATAAAAAACTATTTACATTTTAGTATGTACAAATAACTGGAGCTTCTTAAAAGCCAACTATGATCAACAGTACAGAGCAGCCTTTTTATGAGATTGGAGATGAGTAAACTATTGATAATAATAGGACGAAACGGCCGTCCAGTGTTTCCAGGTTTTCAATGGTGGTCTAGCTTCAATTGACTCACGCTTTCAACTATGAAAAATACCAAATCTCCACAAAACCCCTATTGATAATAAATTTTGCTTTCAGCGACCATACCGATAACACACACACAACCAATAGCTAGATATATTAGAATTTCTAATTTTTGGTGACAAGTTACCACTTTACGTATATTGTATATACAGTTCTTTCCCAAGAAGTGTATGTTTCCTGCATAACATAGATCATACATTGTTAGCCGAAATGTACATGATCTATCAGAATTTCTAATTCATTTAACTCTGTTATCACCTATAGATTTATGTATACGACTGTAATCCACATTTCCTTTGCTTACGAGAGAACAAGACAAACAAACAAGGTTTAAAAAAAAATTGAAAACTTATATACATATTAAAATATTATTTTAAAACAAACCTACAATAAATCGATTGTACGAGGACACATTATCCTATGAATGCCCCCAAATGCCCTGGTACTGCCGCGAGTGGAGAGAGTCCGCTCTCCCTCTCCAAATGCTCTCACATGACCACGCGAATATATAGCCTCTGTCAGGGAAGTCCTACTCACTGCCTTCTCGTGGCATTACTGTTGTTTACGAAAGTGAGAGGATGAATAGCGAATGTCCGACGCTTTAACCGGGTTGGTGGACATGGAGGGTCCACCTCGGGAGTTGGAAAACACTCATTTCAAACCAATGGTGTACATGGGCTCCAGGATCCTGATGGAACGAATGGCGTATGAATCAATCGTTGGTCACAAGATACCATGGGATTGCATCTCCTCACGATGCTCCACTGCCTTGTGGATCAGACCGTTAGGTCAAAGGCTCCGGGGGTGGCCCCCTAAGGAAATCACCTGCTTCAGTTTGAGCACCTGGGCAGTATCACAGCCCTCACACAAGTCGAATAAGATTTGTGCGGCGCATATATATCTGGTGCCCCTTTGTACCAATATTTATGTGTTTAAATAAATAAATAAATTGTCTATGAGTGAATAGTGAAAAATCAATGAATTCAGTTTACAATGGAAAATTGTACACGATTCTCGTAAGCTTTATGAGGAAACTCATTTATGTTATATCTGAAGCGTTTCGAATTCACTAGTCAGCGAACGGAACAATGACTTGTGACCAGAGACTGATAAGCTAACTGTTTACTATAATCAGATGAAGGTTCAAGCAAACATTATAAATGTGAGAGCTGATGGTATTACACTGTTGTTTAAATAGGAAACTGAGTGGGGGAAAATTGAAAGATTTGACTGATAGTTACCGATCTACATTGAATCTAGATACCTACTCGATTAACCCTGAAAAATTCATCTTCACAACATATTAGTCATTAATTACAACTCTATATAATAGGAACTCCGTCTGTAGCTCCTCCGGTTGCTACTACCAGTCCCAAGCCTGGGTAAACGAGGAGGGTTCGGCATGAGGTTAGCGACCCCACCCCGTAGAAAACCAACTCGCTAAAACAACGCTAACCAGAAAAATTATTCAAACCTATATAATAGGTTCCATATATATAATGTCCCATATTCGTTACTTGAAGGATTAAGATAATCTGAAGTTATTCGGTTATGAACGACAGAGAGCTTGATACAAATGTGCAACATAGTAAGCTTTGTAAAATTCGAATAATTGTGATCACTAGTGGACAACTTTAGTAGTAAAGTGTTGCACAGAATTTTATGATGACAGTTGTCATTTAAAAATAATTTGATACTATAAACACAAAATATAATAAACTACATTCTAATGAGGGTTTTACAACTCCCCTAGGTGGATACTCTGTGTCCATCAACCCGATTAAAGCGCTGGACATTTGCTTTCCGTCCTCTCAATTTTGTAAACAACACCCCGCCACGAGAATGCAGTGGGTAGGATTTCCCTGGCAGAGGTTGTGTGTGAGAGTCAAATACTGAGTATTAGTTAGTCCCTTTATTGAGTCTTCCGGAAATAGGGACTCAATGAGTACCTGAAGTATAGTGCGAAACTCACAGAAGTGACAACCTATCTTGATTTTATCCATAATTGCCCTGTTACACATTGATATCCGAAAGACTAATAATTAGTCATAATAACACTAAAAATAAACCAAACTAAAGGTTTAATTGAATGTTTTTCAATAAGTACGTCATCCCATAAAAAAACTAAAGTTGAAATAATGACTTACCATGTAAACGTAAAGTACTTTCATGACATGAATCATTCGGTGTAACTTGACGTGAAATTGATTTATTTGTAGATGCTGGAGCAGAATGTCGATCAAGTGGATAAACATATGTTGGTGAAGAATGATAAGTATTATGTGTGAAATCTCCATTGACTTTAGGAATATTAGAGCTTGGTCGTCTAGATTCACATAACATATTAGAATTAACTATCCCAATATCTGTATCAGATTTCGGATCTAAACCATTATGATGTTCAGTGGAATGATGATCCAACATCATCGTCATCATCATTGTTATTAGATTAAATTAAATCCCGGGTTTTGTATTCACAATTTAATTGTAATGATTACTACTCCTGAGATGAGATTTTGAGAGGTGACAAACAAAATGTCGCAGAAGTGAAATCAGCAAAAAAAAACCACCTTAGTGACGCAAAAACAAACAACAACAACAGAATTTCACGCCCAAAAAAATTCTTTAGTCAGGATAATGATAATAATTCTCACAGGCCAAATTGACTGTCCCAATCACATGTATACACATGTAACAGACAGATAACAATCACATGCAAACAAACACATAGTCAATATATATATATATACATGACATATATCAATATACATACAATATATGTAAGTCAGACAGGAAGATAGCACAACATGTAACCTCAACTCTAAATTTTGATTCGTTACCCATATTATCGTTATCTGACCCACTCCCCTAGCTCAAAAAGAAAGTCTGCGTGTCTTCATTGTTCATTTCGTCGTATCCGAATAGCTCACACAATATAATTTGAGTTTTTATTGGTTAATAAAAAAGGGTCATGAATGTCATGGTAACGCCCATTATTTCTATTGGTTAGTCTAAATTTATCATGTAGGGTCAGCATGGCAATTTACATGTGATTGTCCATAAGAATTGGCCCACAAATGTGGTTTTTTCGGTTTAGGTCGTAATTTCGATAGTTTATATGCTTTGTTGAATAAGGTTAACATGTGTTTATAGATTAACCATCAATAGTGCTGTGCTTTCCACCATTTGTCCAAGTATTTGAGTTTGTTATACCAGCTTCGTTCACCACCTACACTAAAAGGTGTAGACGTTTATTTTCCTGGGGACGCATTTGATTATTTGAAAGGTATGCAGTATGGTTTACTTCTCTGGTAATAAGCGATTATTATTATTCCTAAAAAACTGTTCGCGACTTTTCGTATTTCAACCATTAATTCAAATGTTGATGATAGTCGTATGAACAGTTCCTGAGTCATTTGGCCATACGGAGTAACTTGTAACGATTTACTATAGTAGTTCGACTCAATTCATAGGTTCCCCAACAGTACAATAGCATGGACTGATTATTCAATAGTCTAAATGTTAAAACACCACTACTGTGACAGGAAGTTATAGGTTTGATATCCGACGTGGTAATGTGTGCGTACTGCTACTGATTAGTCCCGTAGTGGGGCGAGACCTTTGCTCAGTATTCGTGGTTCTAATTAACGAGTTCCAGTACGCATGACAAAATCGCTTCAAATCTCGGTAATCACAAATAGAGTCTCAGAGCGAACATCAACTCTGAAATTCAGATACATCCGGAATGAAACATGAGTCCTGGGTTCCACTGTTAGCTACCATCCATCTCTGCTTATAATGCCTGTGACTTGATGGTAATTTAAAGGCAATCCACACCGGATGCATATGTGCCAAAAATCGAAATGACTAATTGCATACATACTAAGATTTGTGACATAATAGTATGCCAAGACAATCGCTCAAGTTTCACGTATAGGCACGATCAATTGAAGTCCAAAATATAAATAATGGAAGATCAGTAACCTTCATTAATAATCGAATATTCAAACAAAATAAGCTTTAGCATAGTGAGAAATAATCATAGCCTATATTTCTACTTCATGTAGATAATGTTACTTCCGGATTGGGTGGCATCGGCACCTGAACTAATTATAGGGAGTGAAGTAGTTGAGCTTGTTGACAGCTTCACTTATCTTGGGAGTCTCATCAGCCCTTGTGGTCTGGTGTGTGACGAAATCTCAGCACGGATACAGAAGGCTCGTCTAGCTTTCGCCAACTTGCGCCATTTATGGCGTAGGTGAGATATCCGTCTAGCAAAAAGAGGACGGGTTTACTGTGCAGCAGTTCGTTCCGTCCTACTTTATGGCAGCGAAACATGACCGGTAAGAGTGGAGGATATTCGTGGGCTACTATTGTTCGATCATAGGTGTCTTCGAAGCATTGCTCGTATATCCTGGGACCACCCGGTAAGTAATGCAGTTGTTAGAAAACGGGTACTAGATAATGATGGCAAATCGATTGATGAAGTAGTGAAAATTCATCAGTTGAGATGGCTGGGACATGTGTTACGTATGCCCAACCACCGACTGCCCCGACGTGCAATGCTTTATGGTGTAGGAGTAGGTTGGAAGAAAGCTAGGGGCGGCCAGACCAAAACGTGGCACAAATCCATGAAGTCACTGACAAGTGGACTGAGTCATTTTGGTAGGTGTAGACTACCTGGTTGGGATTCGCGAGATGATAGCAATCGATGGTTAGAGACCTTGAATGACATGGCTCAAAATCATTTGCAATGACGAAGGTGCATCCACTCTTTATGTTCTCTCAAATTCTTATCTTCTGAACTCCCCATGTCTCCATCTTTTTTCTCTTTCCAAATTTATTTCACTGGATTATACTCCTTGAATAAAATGTTCAAACTATAATCTTTCGGATTACTGTTTATACTTTTACTACTTGTACCACTATGGGATTTGAATCGACAACTGCATCTGTATGCTAATGTGGCATGGCAACTCGAACTGATGTACGTATGTATGTACGAAGTTCTACCTTGTGACTGACTGACTGAATCTAATTATAAAAGTTCCAGTGTTGTTCCTAGGCGTTAGTATAAGCTTCAAAATAATTAGTTTATCATAAATTCTTCACAATTTTCTAATAATTATTCATATCCCATTAGTAACTTCGTAAACTGTTTCTTTATCAGTAATTATGGTATCATAGTTTACTTTTGACTTATTGTGTTTCGTTATGTAATCTATATCATTACAATCTTTCAATAACAAACTTTCTTGATTAGTTTAGTGTTCTTCATTCATGTGTGTGACCAAATTAACATATAGCGTGATAAGGGGGTTGTTTGTGGGGATTTTTAGTAATTTCTATATATATAAGAACTCTCGTCTAAATTAGAACGAATAGTTTCACAGTATTTGATGTCTTATTTAATGTCTTATTTCTATATATAGTTGAAATCATGAGTCCTGGGTTCGAATCTCGCGAGGCGGGATCATGGATGCGCACTGTTGAGGAGTCCTACAATAAAAAGAAACGGCCGTCCAGTTCTTCAAGTTTTTCCATGATTGTCTAGCTTCAATTGACTCATGATTTCAACTATGTATATAACGTGATAGTTTATTATCTGTATCAATTCACATGATTAGCAAAGATGGATAGTGGCTAGCAGTGGAATCCACGACGCGCTTCTCGTGCTATTCGGGACTCGTCAGCTGGATGTACTTGCATCTCAGGGTTGATGTTCACTTTGGGACTCAAACAAAGTACCTTTCGCTTCAAACGCCATCACGTCCTGGATTCCACTGCTAGCCACTATCCATCTTTGCTTACCATGCTTGTGAATTTAGGCTATATCGAAGCAATACGCACAGTATGCACATATGGCCAATAAGAGACTGACCAGTTGCAGTCCTAAAACATCAATGGGAAGATTCAAACAAACAATACTAAATGAATGTTTTTTCACATGTTTTGAAAAGACCACGATCAAAGATTTTAGCTAGAATCTATGTTTTTTTACTCCTTTCAAAATGATAAAGGGAACTATATGTATGAAATTTTCTATTCATTTTCTAATTTCTGAAGTGGTAGTTGGTCGATTCACTGAACATGTTGTTTTTTGATGAAATTGCCGGGAGGTAATCAGTTTTTTTTTCTTTAGGGTAAAGGAGAGAGAAGACAAGAAGGAACATTTATGATTCTTTTTTTCATTAAGTTAAATAGACAGGAATTGTAATAAAAAAAATTTTTCAAATGAATATTTGGGAAAAAGCTAATGATTGTTGAATATAGTTGTACTAAGGCTACTATGGGATTGATTGTATTAAAGTCTAACTAGGAACGTTAACCGCCAGTGACTTTTTTTTATAGATCAATTTTTCTTCCATGCCCTTTTCTCATTGGTTGCCGTTATTTTTAATTCGTTTATCTGTCCCATAATAGGAAGAAACAACCGTTCAGTGCTTCCAGGTTTTCCATAGTAGTCTAGCTTCAATTGACTCATGATTTCAACTATGAAAATATTGAAATCTCCACAAAACCTCTTCTGATTATAATTATATGCTCATTAGTGACTGACTTCAAGATACATGTCCTGGAGTTCTAGTGGGAAGCAGTGACCAGTGGAGTTCAATCAGGTCTGTTGTGAGATATCAACTAACTGATGACATTGGTGAATGGTTGTTCAATATCGTGAATCGGTTGAAGTTAAACATTAACACCATTGGATACCGGCTCAGTGGTCTATCATTTAATATTGTTTGTTTGAATCTTCCCATTGATGTTTTAGCACTGCAACTGGTTCGAACATTGTTATAACTGACCTTGGTGGACAAAAATAACTGAACAAACTAAAAGTGCAAATGATTGTCAGTATAAACTTTTAGGGAATCATAATGAATGAAGGCGGTAACAAACTCAATGATTATTGATTATAAACACATGATAAAATAGGGGTATATATATAGATATATAAAGATTTCCCTAATATATAAACAGTACAACAATAATGGCAAAACAAATAAGGAGGTATATCTAAACAACACGTGTACTTATAAAATAATGACAGGAAAAAGTACATGTCCTTACTTATATCAACCGTGACTAAAATGAGAAGTAACATAACGGTTAGTTATGGTTAGTTTCACTTTTCATAAGATTGAATGATCATATGAGTATTTTTAAGAAATAAAGAAAAAACAAAACAATCTAAGACATTGGATAAAGGAACAAAAAGAATTCGAATTCCACTGAGGGGGTGGGGTGTATTATTTCTATCAAAATTATAGATTAATCATGAAATGTAGATTTAAAAAAAAATAGAACTTCCTGTTTTTTTTTGTATTAAACTATCTAACTTGAAAAAAAAAGAGATTGGAACCAGGTAGATTAGTGGATATATATCGTTAAATAGTTGATTAAATTCAATCAATATTAGGAAAAAAAAAATTAACAAAAGTAGGCAGCATCATCGATGAACACGGTGGATCTGATGCAGATGTGAAGGCGTGGATCAGCAAAGCAAGAGTAGCATATTTACAACTGAAGAACATCTGTAACTCAAAACAATTGTCTGTCAACCAACATAAAGATCAGAATTTTCAATACAAATGTCAAGACAGTTCTACTGTATGGGGCGGAGAACTATGAAAGCCATCATTCAGAAGATACAAGTGTTTATTAACAGTTGTCTACGCAAGATACTTCGGATCCGTTGGCCAGACACTATCAGCAACACGTTACTGTGAGAGACAACAAACCAGATTCCATT